CGTGTGGCCGGGGGGTGGAGGGGGTCTGGGGGAGCTGGCGGCGTCCCCGCCGCGGAGTGCTGGTACCAGATGTTGAGGGGGCTGGGCTTCCACTTACGGAACTACTGCCCTACACGAAAATTGAAACAAAGGAAATCAAAAAAAACGATACAACAAAATCAACCAGAGAGAGACGGGAGGAGACACAGAGGGCCGGGGGGAGAGGGAGGGGGGCAGAGGAGAACCAGAGGGGGCGGGCGGGGAGAGGAGGAGACGGGGACACAGGACGTTCGAATGGAAAAAAGGAGAAAAGCGACAGCCACAGGGAGGTGGGGTGTGAGAGACACGGGGGGGTGGGGGGTTGTCAAAAACCAACACAACAAAGTGAAGAGAGAAATGAGAAACGGAGTCTTGTAAGTTTCGGGGTTAAAAGAGCAGAAGTTTCCACAGTTACTCGCAGGCGTCCAGAGGACGGAAATCAGATCATTGGAACAAAAAAGGAAGCTGAGGCCAAAGGAAAGCAGACAGCGGCGGGGTGGGGGTCGGGGGGAGCCGGGGGACTAGCGCAAGCGATCACAACCAAAGGGGAAGCAGCGGCGGGAGGGGCGTGGGCGGGGCGAGGAGGGCGGGGCCAGAGGCCCAGCCGGCACCTGGCAAAGTGTCACAACCAATGAGGAAGCAGCGGCGGGCAGGGCGGGGCGAGGCGGGGTGGGGGGCGGAGTCGGGAGCCCGGGGATGGGGAAGGGATGCACCGTCCTGGGACCTCTGGCTTGGACAGGGGGGCCCAGGGCACCCCAGGGGCAGTCAGGGCCAGAGGTCACACAGGTGGGCCCGTAATGTGGGAGGGGGGGGACCCTGCCCTGGGAGGCACCGGGCCTGGCTGCCAGCCTCGCGGGCCCTCCTGGGGAAGGGGATGCACCCAGCCCTTGGGCAGGGGTGCCCGCACACCCACCTGCCGGTGTGCCATGTGCTCTCTGCCCTCGCTGGGGGAGCGGGGCCAGTGCGGGTCCCGGGCGCGGGCCCGGCTGTGGTCAGGCCGCTCCTGGCCGTAGCGCTCCTTGTCGTGGGGCGGAGGGTGGTGGTGGTGATGGTGGTGGTGGCGGTGTTTCCGGTCCTTGGGCCGGCCCCGCTCCTGGTCCCGATCTTTCGACGGCAGGTCTCCAGACTGAGTGGTCATGCTCAGGTCTGTCCCTAACCCTGGGTAGGAAGGGAGTTGGAGGGGTGGACGGACAGCCATCCAGAGTGAGATGGGGCTGGTATAAGACAGACAGACAGACACACACACACACACAC